CAGCAGCTGTCTAAATGTAGAAAATAAAAGAAAGTTATATCTAACTGTAATAAGACCTATCCTATATATAATAAGACCTATTTCAACATATCTGGTGTATGAGAAATATCCTGAATTTAGACAAATTACAAAAACTACAAAATACTGCTACACCTACAAGGATGATTATAGGACAATCAAAAAACCCAATCACAAAACATTATATAAGCACTGCATTTCTCCATGAAGCCACTAATATACCCTTCATAAAAACCTACATTGACAGTGTTTCAAAAAAGTACTATACTACATGTTTAGTTAATTAGAACCCTACCATAAATAACATTGGACGCATAAATACTTACAGGCCATGGTACTTAATAACTAATAGTCAATGAAGTAATTAATAATATTTACGTGTAAATAGTTATGAAAGTAATGTTATTAACTTCCCATAGCATAAGTTATAGTAATCGCAAAAAAATCGAAAATGAAAATTTGTATATTTCTTTCCAAGGTTTCCAGGGTTTTTAAACATTTTGGCATACCTTATTTTTAGAAAAAATGGAGGTATGTGTTTGTGCGTGTGTATGTGTGTGTGTGTGCGGATACAGATTTTATCGACCATTTCGGGAACACCGATCAACCGATTTGAATGATTAAAAAAACATTCGATTTGTATTGATAAGGAGACGTGCTGATTAGTTTTTGGCACAGGCAGGTCTAGTCGTTCTAAAGATATGGGACAAAAAGTCCAAAAAACGGTAACTCTTTTTTTAAAAAAAAACGGAGCATCCGATTTTAATAATTCAAAAAACATTTTACTTGTATTGACAAGACGAAGATCTGATTAAACTTTAGGGAAGGCAGGTCCGGCGGTTATGGACTCTCAATAAATATAAGTTAAAAAATGTCATTTGGCGGTCAAAAATGTTTATTGGACATATGCACATCAAATTATCAGATATTTTATAGAGATTTTAATAATGTGTACACATTTTATGTAATTTTTTTGGGTTCCGTACCAAGATTTTTAATTACGGCACAGGAAGTTCCAGCAATTTGCCTTAAGGCACGATGCCATGCACCCCACTAGTTCTATACTATTGTCGTGACATAGTTATTTATTAACCTTTGTGTTTGTTTGATATTTTTGAATGTATATATGTGTAATGTGTATTGAATGTACAAATATAATTTAACTTAATGTATTATTTTCAATTTTATAGATGTACATATAGTTTATAAGTTACGGTGCTTAAATAGTGTATTCAAATATACTATATGATTTATATTTCATACAATTTTTCTTCAATAAAAAATGAAAAATATACACAAATAATAATATTATATCGGCATTCGATTTTTATTTGTGCCACATATATTAAATAATATATGAAAATCCTTACCCATAAATACTCAGAATAACTATTGAACTAGTATACAATTGTGAATTATCCTTGATTAAAACGATTTCTGAAATGCGGAATTATTAATTTTAATATGTTAATTACTATATTACTACATTATACATTAAACAAATTCAATTGTCACCAAAATATAAGAAAATTGCAAATTGAACTGGTACAACAAAAGTGTAGTTCACCAAACATCAAACAAAACATAACAAAAAGAAAACAAAACTAGCTGTAAGTGGAATTCTGTCTTAAGGCAATTAAGGCATCGTGCCTTAAGGCAAATTGCTGGAACTTCCCGTACCAAAAATTATTATTTTTTTAAAAACGATTAACATTTTTGTAAAAAAAAATTACTTTGAAAAAATAAGATTTTTGAGAAACTATAAATTGGACAAAAAATTACTTTTTACAAAAAATTTTTTTCTTTATTTTGACATATTGTAGAAGATCTGAACTTTTTTTCAAAGCAATCGTACTGCTTTAACTGCATAGGTACAAAATATAAAGCGCGTAAGCGCCGCGTCGCTGTCTAACGCATAAGCATTGGTACGGAACCCATAAGAATGTTAACAAAATGTATACTTATTGTTAAAATCTCTATAAAATATCTGATAATTTGATGTGCATATGTCTAATGATCATTTTTGACCGCCAAATGGCTCATTTTTTTACTTTTTCCTCCATATCTCCGAAACCGCTAGACCTACCATCATGAAAATTTTATCGATTCTTCATCTTGTCAATACAAGTGACATGTTTTTTGAATTATTCAAATCGAACGCTCCGTTCTCTTAAAAACTGAGTTACCGTTTTCGGCACTTTTTGCCCCGTATCTTCGGAACGGCTAGACCTGCCTTCGCCAAAAACTAATCAGCACGTCTCCTTATCAATACGAATTGAATGTTTTTTGAATTATTCAAATCGGTTGATCCGTGTTCCCGAAATCGTCGACGAAAATTTGTATCCGCACATACATACACACACGTACATACATACATACATACATACATACATACATACATACATACATACATACATACATACATACACACACACACACACACACATACATCCATTTTTTCTAAGGTATGCCAAAATATTCAGAAACCTCTGAAACGTAAAGATATATAAAAATTTTCATTTTTGATTTTTTTGCGATTACTATAACTTACCCTACGGGAAGTTAAATAAATTACATTATAAATATAGATAGCAATATATTTCCAAGTGAAAATAGTCCTCGCCCGGCATTGCTGCACCATTGAAAAATATTTGCCCTATTACAGAAATTGTAATAATAATAATCGTACAGAGATGTGACAACTGATTGGGTTGCCATCTGTCAAACAGACTAGTATTAAGTCAAAATCAGCACAACAGCTATTACATCGGACTATTAGGTTCAGATTGCTGTTCAAAAAATAATTAAAAACTAGTAGGGCGCATGGCATTGGGCCTCAAGGCAAATTGCTGGAACTTCCCGTACCGTAATTAAACATTTGAGGAATGAAAAAAGTAATCAATAACTGTTTTGAGGATTTTCAAATAAATTATTTATTATAAATGGATACATACTGTAAATTTATAAGTGCTTTTTAAATTGAGTGATGAGCGTATTTTATAAACAACTAATGTGTACGTTTACAAGAGTCCATTTTTTTTAAATTAGATTTTTTTGATAATTTTGATTTTTTGATTTTTTTTCGTAGTATAACATTTTTTGTAATCTAAAAAACGTTTTTTTAAATATTTTGAGAATTTGGAAATTTTTGAAAATATTTGATTTATTATTCTCAAAATTTTGTAAGAAGTCAATTTTTTTAATTTCTTTCAAATTTCAAAAATTAGAATTTTTTGAAACTTTGAATTTTTTTGAATATTTGTTTTTTTTTAATTTTCAAGGTTACTAAATTTTCTGTAAATGCATTTTTTGCACACCATCTACTTAAGCAAAATATTTTTGAATTAATCTAATCGGATAATACGTTTTCTCAAAAACTGCATAACCGTTCCTACACCCTTTGCGCTCCATACCCCCGAAACGGCAAAATTGCCTTTTGCAAAAACGCCTCGCGATGAGTACGAACCGAATGATTTATTCATCATACAAATTGGTTGTATGATTACCAGTTATTCCATGCTGTCAAAAATTTCGAGGACATTTGTTTGAACCATATAAAAACCTCAAAATTAAAAATCTTGGTACGGAACCCAAAAAATTTTACACAAAATTTGTACACAATATTAAAATCACCATAAAATATCTGATGATTTGATGTACATATGTCCAATTTTTGACCGCCAAATGGCAATTTTTCAATTTATTTTTATAGAGAGTCCATATCCGCTGGACCTGCTTTCCCCAAAATTTTACCAGTTGTTCATTTCGTCAATACAAGTAAAATGCTTTTTGAATTATTAAAAGCGGACGCTCCTATCTCTTAAAAACTGAGTTACGGTTTTTGTCACTTTTTGCCTCGTATCTTCGGAACGGATAGACCTGCCTTCGCCAAAAACTAATCAGCACGTCTCCTTAACCACCCGAATCGAATGATTTTTGAATTATTCAAATTGCTTCATCCGTGTTCTCGAAATCGTCGACGAAAATTTGTATCCGCACACACACACATACACGCACACACACACATACGTCCATTTTTTCTAAGGTATGCCAAAATGTTCAAAAGGTTTTGAAACGTAAAGATATATGAAAATTTCCATTTTCGATTTTCTTGCGATTACAATAACTTGCCCTGCGGGAAGTTAATATATATATATACGAGTATATATATATATATATATATATATATATACGTATATATATATATATATATATACGTATATATATATATATATATATATATATATATCAAATGTGTTCATATGGGTTACTTTTAATGGAATAAATATTCAATCGTATAAAGTGGAAGTTTGTATTAGTACTCATATTCAAATTTTAGTAAAATAGTATGTAGAAACTTAAATCAATACATCACGACTACAATTTATTTATCTTACAAAATGAGGAAAAATTATAAATGAGAAATTTGTAATAAATGATTTTTTAAGAAGTGCACGAGTACCATATGTTAATATAAAATATTAGTTATATTTTTTGTACATTAATTAGTTAACTTGTAATTATGTTTAAAGCTGTTCCAAAATAAGGATTAATTAGCATTTTTTTTCTTTGAAATGAGATTTGTATAACTATTTTATACTACAAAACAAGTATATAATATATATAATATGCTTTAATAATGATTTAATCTACTCTTTTTAATTATTTAACAGGAATGTTTGAACGATGCCAATAACGACAAAAAACTGTACTGAACAATGTATTAAAACTAAACTAATTAATAAAAAACTAAAAATTAATAAAAAATAAAAAATACGTAATAAATGTATTAAATGGACTTTATATTGATATTAAGTATTAAAAATTTAAAATTCTATGATTTTAAACAGTTCAAAAATAAAAACTTAGCGTAGAAGTGATGAGAGCAAACGAACATTATACGATTACTATGAATAAATATTATATTCATTTTTTGTATAAAAAATAGCTCAATTTAAGCATGTTCTTCGTAAATTATTTACTTATGTCGCCCTGACTTTGGTGCATCTTGGTTTCCAGGAGGGTTTGTGTCATCACTGATTCCACATTTTTTTCCCTGTGGTGTTAAGTAAGGGTAGTAATAGTTTCATCGATTTATATTTTAATAAAAGACTTTCCATTACAAAGCACTGTTATGATATTCCATTAACAAACATTTCACTATTGTTATATAAATTTATAAATTGATGTTTAACGATTACTTTTAGAGAACAAAGTGATGAGCTCAAACATTGAGGTCGTATGCAAGCCGTCATAATTCTACAAATTTTTCAAATTTTTTATAAAATTTTGTTGAAGTTATTCTAGTTCACTGAAAGTTTTTGCACATTTGACAATTTGACTTGAACACTTAATCATTCTACACACCACACTTTTTTATGAATTCTTCATTTATAGTGAAAAATTAATAACTGTAATACATTGTTAATTTTTATTATATATAAACTACAGCTTGTAATTTTTAATAATATTTTTAAAATTATCTTTTCTACTAAGAGCAAAAATTAAAAATAAATAAATAGTGCTACGTTCACTTGTATTTATTTCATTTCAATATGCGATTGTGCAAAATATTCCTTTCATTTATTACGATAACATGACACGCCTTGTGTACTTAATGCGCATGCTGATATTTCAGTTTATACAACTGAAACACCGCATCGAATATACAGTAAACCCTCGCTTTACGCGGCAAGTGCGTACCGTGCAGAATGGGGAGCGTGCTAATAAAAACTTGTTTTTAACATACAATTCAGGCTAATTCGTAGTGCGTTCCATGAACACACTAAATTCTAATATTCTCTAGGCCTAGGGTGCGTTCTATGGAACCTTATATTAGCCCAGTCATTTTAGGTTAAATTAGGCAAGAATCTCGGAATGTGAGATACCAAGCTGTAAGTTTGTAAATATTTGTATATTGACACCCTAAATGTTGTCCTAAAACCTACATATGGTAGGGTGTGCGCAACTATTAAATTTCGGGGTCAAAGGTCACAAAAATCGCGGTTTTTCGCTTTTTTTGTAAATATCTCATTTTCTATGGGTTTTTTGCTATTTATGTTTATTATCAATATTGTAGAATATAAAATTCTCGACAAATTTTGTTTGAAAAAATTTTTCATACGGTAAATTGTTTTCGAGATAGAGGGCGGAGAGCGCGCGGTCATAGCATCCCCTCAGGTCAACCGATGCCTTTGGTCAAAATCGCGCCATATATAGTTGATGAACTATCGATAGATCAATGATTATAAATATTTGTCAATTTTTATTAACTTTTATATTATATTTTATTTTTTCCTAACCTATCCACTTTTTATTTAGTATTAATTTATTTAACAACACTTACCTGCCCATGTAATTGCAGAATTGTTAATGAAAATATAAGAATTATATTTGAATTTAAACCCAATTAATATTTATAAATTCTTACATGATGAAAAAAAAACAAATAAATTAGGAATTTATCTTTTCGTTAAAAAATATCATTTGATACATTTATTTTTTTAAAGTAAAAAAATGAAATAAAGGGTACAAAAACTACAATTTATATAAAAAAAGTTCCATCTTCGTTAATGTCGCTCTGGTATGGTAGAGCAATGAAACAAGCTTGCCCATTACATTGGCCACAAGCTAAAGAGCATTGCAAGCCCGCTTTCCTGCAGTTGCAGAAAATTGTATTTAGCAAATGTTCTGGAGCAGGTGGTAAAATAGTCATGATAGGCTCCAGAAAATCGTTTCGCATTGCCCAACTTCATACCTTTGGTTCCAAATCATGACCTAACTAAGTTTGAACTTGATAATATACACATCGAAATGTTGATGAGTAGCTGCACTTGTTGGTGGAATATTTGCAAGCTGAACAGGTTTATTAAGTTTTGTAGACTTGACGTAATGCATATAACGAAGATGATCGAGACTTTTCACAGATTTTGGAGCATTATAGACTGCCAATAAGGTTTGAGTTTCACTCTCTAATAATCTTTGGGGCGAACAATTTTCTTCCTCAAATGTTTTAGATAGTTGATCCAAATTTGTCAGTTTCTCAAAAACTTTTAAAAATGTTTTTTTCCCTTTTTAAAAAACCCAGAAGTTGTGTCACATCCACTTAATGCGTGCAGAAATAAAATATGTGTAATAAGGATAATTATCAAAATTTTTAGTCTATTATATCTCCGTTTTTACATTTCCTGTCCCAACTTTTTTAAAGAAAATTTCTTTTTCGTGAGACAGGATACGCCCAATTAAAATGACGAGTAAATCAATATCTTGTTCTATTATAATTGCAGTTTTTCCAGACATTGATTCTTGAATTACACTTTCAACAATAAGGACATCCGCATCATCTCTGGCTTGTTTAGTAGTTATATTTGCAGCCTTTGAATTTTCCATTAGCATATTAATGAGCCTATTTTTATTATTTTGATTTGATAAAAAAAAATTCTTGAGAAACTGGTACAACTATTGTTTTATCGAAACATACTTCATATGATTTTGAAAGTGCAGTTCTTCTCAGATGCTCCATAGCTTTTACGTTCTTACTGTAGTCTGAATATCCGTCAAATACAACAATTATTTTGTACCTGTAATGCCTTTGTAAATAATTTATGTATTCATCAAAAACGCCTCGCGATGAGTACGAACCGAATGATTTATTCATCATACAAATCGGTTGTATGATTACCAGTTATTCCATGCTGTCAAAAATTTCGAGGACATTTGTTTGAACCATATAAAAACCTCAAAATTAAAAATCTTGGTACGGAACCCAAAAAATTTTACACAAAATGTGTACACAATATTAAAATCACCATAAAATATCTGATAATTTGATGTACATATGTCCAATTTTTGACCGCCAAATGGCAATTTTTCAATTTATTTTTATAGAGAGTCCATATCCGCTGGACCTGCTTTCCCCAAAATTTTACCAGTTGTTCATTTCGTCAATACAAGTAAAATGCTTTTTGAATTATTAAAAGCGGACGCTCCTATCTCTTAAAAACTGAGTTACGGTTTTTGTCACTTTTTGCCCCGTATCTTCGGAACGGATAGACCTGCCTTCGCCAAAAACTAATCAGCACGTTTCCTTAACCACCCGAATCGAATGATTTTTGAATTATTCAAATTGCTTCATCCGTGTTCTCGAAATCGTCGACGAAAATTTGTATCCGCACACATACACATACACGCACACACACACATACGTCCATTTTTTCTAAGGTATGCCAAAATGTTCAAAAGGTTTTGAAACGTAAAGATATAAGAAAATTTCCATTTTCGATTTTCTTGCGATTACAATAACTTGCCCTGCGGGAAGTTAATATATATATATATATATATATATATATATATTTTGTAGAGTTTCGAACAAGAATCCAAAAATAATACAAAATAAAAAACAAGAAAAGTTTTTAATAAACAATTTCTTTATTTAATTATTTGTTTTACTGTCGACGTTTCGGAACTAGGTACGTTCCATCTTCAGGACATCTGTCAAGAAACATGATCTTGATGAGATTTTAGCAAACAATATGTTTAGGAAAAGAAAATAGATTTTTCTTAAATAATAAATTAATTGCAAAATATATATATATATATATATATATATATATAATAATGTACAGAAATATGTTAATATGATCACAATGAAAATGATAAAAATGATAAAAATAAATGAGTGGATTATCAGAACAGGATATTAAACATAATAGAAAATTTTTTGAAAGTTATGGAAAAATTTTTTAAGAAAAGGTTAATGACAAAGTTGAATTAATTACCTGTATGTTTGAATATATGTTAGCACTTTTTCACTAAACAAGTTTTTTAACAAAAATGAATTTGTGAGTTAATTTTCCGCCGAATAATTAGATTTTGTAAATCAAAATTACTAAAAGATTTGTCTTTTTTAAAATTATTATTTGAAACACAAATAATATTGTTTTTTAGATGTTGTACGATTGGCTTTTGAAAATTAACTAATTGAAACTGGTGTGTCATTTGTAACACGTGTAAACACTTGAACGAGAGCTGTGAGATTGTATGTGTGTGTTTTTATATGTTAGGGTGTGAATACTTAAATTGTTGATCTTAAAAGAAAGTCGATATTAATTGTTTGTCAAAAAGTGTAAAAAATTTAAATATGAATCATGTAATAGGTTGTGATCTGATCTAATGTTGGTTGACACTGTTAGAAACATTTATAAGAATAAGACAACTCTCCGCGAATAATCTCCTAAAGATGCAATATATATATATATATATATATATATATATATATATATCAAATGTGTTCATATGGGTTACTTTTAATGGAATAAATATTCAATCGTATAAAGTGGAAGTTTGTATTAGTACTGAGCCTATTTTTATTATTTTGATTTGATAAAAAAAAATTCTTGAGAAACTGGTACAACTATTGTTTTATCGAAACATACTTCATATGATTTTGAAAGTGCAGTTCTTCTCAGATGCTCCATAGCTTTTACGTTCTTACTGTAGTCTGAATATCCGTCAAATACAACAATTATTTTGTACCTGTAATGCCTTTGTAAATAATTTATGTATTCATCAAAAATAATAAAAAAAAGTATTTTCTCTGCTCCATACAACATGATGAGGAAGAAATCCGCCATCAATAATGAACGTCACATTATTTTCATTGAGAACAAAATCAATTATTGGGCTCATATTGTCATATGACAATTTTGTTGTTTTTCTCATGCCATTATTATCAAATAGAGCTGTTGGATACGGACTAAATTCATATTGATGATATTCTTCAAGATTACTTTCAAATTGTTTTCTGAGAGTAATTCTTTGGAAGAGTAATGATTAATGATTTTCTATTTAAAATTTTAAGAGTGTTTATGGGACAATAATCATATTATGATTTAAGTTTTTTCCTTAATTATTTTTTAATTTTAGGAAACGGTGATCAGTATTATTGAATAGATATAGATTTAAGGCATGAAGAAAATGCTAAAATATGATATAATAGTTAATAAAAATTGACAAATATTTATAATTATTGATCTATCAATAGTTCATAAACGGTTGACCTGAAGGGATGCTATGACCGCGCGCTCTCCGCCC